TAGCAATGGTTTTCATCTTGTCCTGCTTAAAACGGATCTGTTTGCAGAAACCTTTCTACAGTAATCAATTGACACCCAGGTTTCCCTACAGTGTTCTCTTCACCGGACAAAAATTTAAGGGACGAGAGGGGGAGAGAGAGGGAGAGAATCAGGTCTTTTCCTCCTAGGTCACATCTGCCAAGCCTCACATCTTTCTTCAGCCCCTCCCGATTAACTTTTCCAGCTAGTCCAAAATTGCAGTACAACCAGACCTTCTAGTGTAACTACTTTGCTAATTGCTGCTCTCTCATCCACTGAGCAGCCAGTCTATGAAATTGCAGCTTAACCAGTCACACACCTCTGCAGGTTTTTCCTATGTAAATGTGTAACAATATGGTGTTACATTAGACCTTGAATTACATCTTAGTGTAGGCTGCTTCTCCCATTTGTTGAGACTGTGTTCTGTGTTCCAGCCTCCTACCTACCCTTCCGGTTTAGCACTGTCTGCAAATTTTAATAGGTATGTTTTACTCCTTCATTAGCATTATCAATAGAAACACTGAACGTGAGCAGATACAGAACACAGGTCTTGCAAAATCCCATTTAACAAACACCAGTCTGACATTGAACTAACCCTAAAAAAGTTTGCAACCACTTGTTCACACATTTTTCAAGAGTCTTAATCTAAATCAATACACTCAAAATAATCCACACTTCATTCACAGTTAGTGCCTCTTCACACCTTATAAAAGTGGAGAAACTTCCCAGAAGGGAAGCTCTTCACACCTCATTAGTAATTAAGTATAGCTCACAAACTGATATACATAAATGACACTTTTCCTAGTTGTTTTCAGAACATTAACACCAAACCTCAAAAACTTGTGTTCAAGATCCAGAAATCTATTCTTCTTCTATCTGCACAAGCTCTGTTACAGTGTTCTAAAGAAAATCGAATGTATCTGTATTTGAAAAATCAAAGCTTTTGCTACCACGGCTGTGAACAGATTGCTTTTGCAGTTGCTTAGACTGTAAAAATTTAGCTCATACTAAACTAGGAAAAATTTATCTGATGCTGACAGCATTAGGTGTTCCCTTAGATCAGTTCTACATGTGCATGGATTTAAGAAATTAAGATATACTAAACAATAAATAAATGAGATTTCATCTTGAAACTAACCGTAAGCAAGAAAGACTGCACTAAAATCTGTCTGTTAACCTCCATTCTTTAGTACTAAAATGCTAGAATAAAAGTGGGAGATAATATTGGGTCAATTCCAACTGGATCTTATACTTTAAGCATCATAATTCCACATTATTTTACTAAAAAATAATTGCAAATGTGTTCTATTTATTTAACACAGAATAGGTGAGTTAAAGCAGACAAACAACAGGAAATTACTCAGGATGACAGATCTACAAAGAAATCTGCCATTTGTTACACCAGCTGGTCATAATTAGACTCGGATTCGTTTTTAAAGGGAGGACACAAAATCTTCAGTAATCAAGCCTGTTAAACCAACGTGCACACTAGTTACAAAAAGATGTAACAAGTGCAAGATCCTTCTTCCTCTTCACCAGGATTAAGAACACTTCTCACAGCTTCTGAAATAACTCTATGTTTGAGAGAGACAGCATCTTGTTTCAAGAGCAGAGCTGAGGAGTTCCTCAGAGAGCTATCTCCTTAACAGCTGACAGAAATCATGAAAGCTTTCATCTTTAAGACTGATCCACAGCTGGATCTACCATGCAGGGTATGAATAAGTCAGTTATTTATAAACAACATCCTGATCTCCTTCTACATTAGCACCCAGCAGAAGAGGAAAGAACTGACACAGCAAGTACTGGGTGTTGACAGGCTTTGCAAGTAGCACAGCTGATCACCCATTACTAAACCCAAAGAACTGCAGTACACTTACAGTAGTCTAAAGGCAAGTGGTGTCCAGCCTTCACTGGTCCACAAAAAAAATTGAAAGCAGATGTGCCACTACACTCAAAAATACAGTACAAGTCAGAAATAACATCCTTCTCTAGCTCCAAATTCAGGTTTAGGAACCATTAAATTAAAACAATCCAAACACAGCATTTGAAGATGAACAGTTGCTTTAAATGAATGCAATTGATTAACAAATATTTCTGCTAAAATATTATGCAATTTAATGCCAATTTCTACTTCATTGTAAAAATTGCTAAGTATTTCCAATAGTTTTCAACAAAGTTTGGTTTTATTAACAATCTTATTATGCTTCACTGAATCCATTCACCTATAATTTTACTTGCATTTTACTGCTCTGTCCATAGCAGACTTGGCAAAACCAAATCCAGATTCTTTAATACAAATTCATGTAGGTTTTGTCATAAAGCTTTTCATAATTGAAGACACAATAAGACGCAAACTTCCCAAGCAACAACCAATGTTCCAGCAATGAAGAACAGCCAGCTTAGCAGCAATATTTTAATAAACAAATGGGGTATAAAAAAACTATACAATTATGAATTTATCACAGCTTTTAAACTATAGAAGAGCCTAGGCTTAAAATTATTCTCAGGAAATAATATCAGGTCACCTAAATCCTGTGTTTATAAATTTATATTATAAAATGTTATTATAAATTTAGTTTATAAAACGTTAGAATGATCCCAATCTAGTAAGAAAATTCATCCAAAATGCCAAGCTGACACCAGCACTGTGGAAAATGCAGAATGTAATCCACCACAACTTCTAGCCTAGAAAGCAGAAAGGCTAGAATTAATTGCCCTTGGAAATCCTATATATTACAAAACTACAGGTGAATTTCTCCAGGGAATTTCAAGGCCCATTTGGAAAAAAAAAAAGAAAAATGGAAAAAACCACTCACATTCTCCATATTATTATGTTGGCTCTCCGGGTTTGCAACTTGCCCATCATCACTTGAGAAGCTCTGACCCCTGTTGGTGAAAGACAGCAGGGTCCCCTCTTACACAAACGGCTCTCTCACTGAGCTGGCGCACTTGTGTAAAACAAGTCCCTTTGCTGAACAAAGAGAGTGCTAAAGAATTGGGAATAAAAAGGGGTAATTTCCTGACAGGCAAGACCTAAATCTATTCAGAAAACATGGTCAAGCACACATCGAAGACAGTACAAGGGAGCCTGTCTGACCACACAGATGGAAGGAGAAAGAAGGAGGTCCTCTCTGTTTCAGAAGTGGTAAATTGAGTTTGGCTCAGAGGTAGCACTAGACAGCAGCAGCTGCAGGCGGGCACAGCTGTTGACACTACGGCTAGATTGCTGGAAGGCAGTTCTGTCTAAGCTGCCAAACATGACACTTGTGGCAGGTGTGCTGAGACCACACAGTGCTTAACAGCAAAAGCCTCCAGCATAGGAAGAGCAGTAAGCTTACTCCTCAGTAAGAGTTCTGGGGAAACCTTAGCTACTGCTTCAATTAAAGGCCCAACCCAGCTTATTAGCCTTAGCCAAAAATAAACATAGTCACTGTGCTAGACTAAGATGATAAGTATATTAAAGTCAGTAACACAGTGATCAGGCAAAACATATTGTAAACTGTCCCAAAAGAAAATTTTTAACTGTTTCCTAAAATATTTCAAACAACAATCCAGACAAAAATGCACACATATAACACGATTCCCTTCCTGAATGTGTCTTTTAAGTTATGAAGAGGACCCTGCTGGGTCAACAATACCAGAAAAAACACAGATACAAATGCATCTCAACTTAGTCAGAAATGGTTCAATGATTAAAAAAAAAAAAATCAGCTAAAGATAGAAGCTTCCTCAGCTAATATAGGTGCTAAATCCCCCCCCCCCCATTTCTCTATGGCTTATGATGTAGCACTACTGTTCACATCTAGAATCCAAACCTGTCCACATGTCCACACACATAACTATGAACTCAACAGCTGATATCACTTACAAGTGAAACTACCAACCAGCACCTTAGGCAAGAGTACTTATCCAGTCTTTTATCTCCCAAAATAGGAGTGCTAAAAAGTTTCTAAAGACAGTAACAAGAGGGATGAATATTTTACTTTTTTTTTAAAAATCCAGCGGCAACCACAGGAGTTCTAATGCAGACAAAACACTGCTGGGTCCAACTGAAGCCATAGCATCATAAAAGTCAAAGTGAATCTAATCAACATGATGCTGAAAATGGGGTAGCAGCTGGCCCATCTACATTAGGACTTCCAGTGCTGCCAAAACTAATCAGTATTAGGTCATCACTGTCATCTTTTTTTCAGTCCAGGGACAACCATGGTTTCTGTGTTGCAACAACATTAATGGAAGCTAAACAATCTGAATGTGGTACTGTCAACACACTTATAGATGGAAACAGGTTTTTAAGGCACAGTGTTGATCTCATACCTCAGTGGGCTGTAGAAGGCATTTTAACATCTCTGCAGGAAACTGAAAGTAGTTGTGTTACACTTGGGCATATCTGCGCTACTTTTAAACTACTAAAACACTTTAAAATTGGTCAAAGCACAAACTATCACCTTTTGTTACTGACAAATATGTGTTCCAGTGAATCACACATACCAATGCAATAAAATTAGCCACGTCACCACTTCATTGCTAGTACCACAAGCTAGACAAGACACGCTCATTTTAACTTCTAATAAGCTTTGCCGAATAGACTTATAGCAGCACTTCACCTCTATTTACAAACAGATGTACTTTTCAGATGCATTTATTCAAACGCCACTTGTATTTCTCAGCACAAAAGTATAAAATTACTTCGGAAAAAAAAAATCCCTATCTATGTTTTCACTAGAGCAAGTAGGTGCTGGCTGCTGCTGTTTCAGGAGAAGAGCGCAAACCACGACCGCACACACCGAGCCCACCGGGAAGGCAACACCAACACCCCCCCTCCCACCACCTCCAACTCCCGGGAGTGGCCGCTGCCTGGCTCCACCCGGGAAGGGGTGGAGCGAGGGAGGAGAGGCAAAGGGTTGTACCCCCACCCCGACAGCCACCTTGCGGTCCGATAGCGTTCAGCTCCGCCTTTCTGGCGGTCTCCTCGTGCTTACCCGCCGGGGCCGCTGAGCCGCAGGCGGCGTTGCCCCACGACCTCGAGGTTCTCGCCTTCCCCGGCGCCCGCCTCCTCGGTGTCCGCGAGCACCGCCTCTTCCCCGGCTCTCGTCTCCGCCGTGGCAGTCCCGGCTACTTCCTTCAGTCGCCGCATCAGCTGCCTTCTCCGCGCAGCTGTGCCGCCGGCGCCCATGCCGGCCACCTTCCCTGCGGGGCAGGCCGCCGCCCCGCTCAGGCTGCATTGTCGGGTTACGTGTTTCCCAGGCGCCGCCGGAGGCCGTGCCGGCCTGTGCTGTGCCGGTCCCCGCCTACTCCCGGAAAGAGGCCGCCTGCGGAGGGCGAGAGAGGGAAATGGCGGTGCTGTGGCGCGCCCGCACCCTCAGCAGCTCCCCCTGTCTGCGGCACCGGCAGCCGCGCGGCGCGGGTTCCGCGGCCGATGTACGAACGCTGCAGCGGGCCCGCGGTGCGGTTTTGGCCTTCCTGCCTGAGGGGACGCGCGAGCTGCCCTACTCCTCCTGGGCCGGCGCCTGGGTATCGTTTTCCTGCGTACACTCTGCAAATAGCTTTCTAGGTGTATTTCAACCGGAGCTGTGTTTAATATTTGGAAAACAGCAGTCATAGCTAAAGCCTTTTAAACTATGGCCATCCATTTAGATTGGAAAAGACCTTTAAGATCATGAAGTCCAGCCATTAATCGTGACACTGTCAAGTCCACCACTAAACCATGTACCTATGCACCACATCTACACTTCCTTTTAATTACTTCCAGGGACGGCCACTCAAACACTTCCCTGGGCAGCCTGTTCCAATGCCTTGACCAATGCCTTTCAGTGAAGAAATTTATGCTAATATTCAGTCTAAACCTCCCCTGGCACAAACTGAGTCATTTTGTCCTATTGCTTGTGTGGGACAAAAGACCAACATCCCCCACACACTACAACCTCTTTTCAGGTAGTTGTAGAGAGCAGGAAGATCTCCCTTAAGCCTTCTCCAGGCTAAACAACCCCAGTTCCCTCACCCATTCCTCACAGGACTTGTTCTCCAGACCCTTCCCCAGCTTTGTTGCCCTTTTCTGGACCCGCTCCAGTATCTAAATGTTTGCTTTGTAGCGAGGGGCCCAGAGCTGAACACAGTATTTGAGGTGCTGCCTCACCAGTGCTGAGTACAGGGGGGATGATCACTGCCCTGGCCTTGCTGGCCAGAGTTTTTGATACAGGCCAGGATGCTGTTGGCCTTCTTGGCTGCCTGGGCACAAGCTGGCTCATGTTCAGCCGTCAACCAGTACCTCCCAAGCTCTTTTTCTGCCAGGCAGTTCTCCAGCCACTCTTCCGCAGGCCTGTAGCAGTGCATGGGGTTGTTGTAACCCAAGTGCAGGACGCAAAGTTAGCTGTGCACAGCAAATGAGGGAAAAAGTGGCTGAGTCCCAGCTGACAGGGTGTCACACACAAGCCCGCACTGCATGAAATATGTGTCCTCTGCTGCCTCTTGGGGATCATCTTGCTCTGAGGACACAGCACAGGACACGAGAATACCTTTATGCCATAGAGGAAGGCCAGTTTATCAGGCACCCGTGCTGTCCTGAGGAAAGTTCAGTGATCACTCTTGAGCATGCAGGATGCCATTTGACAACACACATTAAAACATCAGTCTGGTTTTGTAGGGTTTTTAAACCTAAGTAGTCCTTACAGCAAAATGTTACCACAACTCCCATACTGTGAAATCATGAGCTGTCATGTCTGTGTGCTACTGCATGTGGCAAGGGCTTCTTAGTTCTGGGGCATACCATGCAGCAAATCAATACATCAGTTTAGCATGAGTCCAATGCAAGACAAGCAAATAAATGAAGTAACAGGGAGCAGCAGTGGCAAGCATATTCCAAAGACATCTAAATGACTCCTTGTGCAGCCAGCACAGGTCTGGCAGACCCGGTGCTGAGCTAGAGCTAATAAAACCTGGCAAACCCAAGCTGTGCCTGCATCTGTGGTGCAGTTAATCTGTGACACGAACAATCTGCCTGCAGATAACTGTAAGATGACTATATGTACAAATTTAACAACTCACTTCAGTTAATACTTACAGCTACACTGAAAAAAATCACTAATATTTAGCAGCAAACAGCAAATACCATTACAACTCACAAGCATGAAGTTCATGCATTGATGATGAGAGACAGAAAAGGCATGATACTGTACATGTGCATTTTGATTTTGTAATTTAATGTTGATCTCCCTATTATTATCATCTCTTATGATCGATAATTAACATAAATTATGTTATCATAGCACAAAGAAGTCACATTTACAGACACTATTGCCCTGAGTGATACACAGAGAGAGTACAAAAGGTAACACTGCAAAATGTTAACACAGACCTATGAAGCAAAAGATGATAGAAAATAAAGAGATGACAAGAATGGCCAACATACCAAGAAGAGATCTTTGCATACTAGCAGCTTAGCTACTGTCAATTTTTATAGGCATCACAGTAAAACAGCTCATTAGGGAGGTTGCATGATGGTAATGAGAGTACTTTCTGTTTAGAAATTAATTATAGTTTCTATGCTGTATTACCAATGTTTCTCCTGCCCATGTCAGTTTAAACCAAGAACAGTTGTGTCAGGACAGCAACAATTTCTGCTTATCCTGTGGCTCTGAAGTTTGCAGTCCACATGGAGTAGCTTCATCAGTCTTTCCTCCTAAATTCTGATGTTAGGAAGGGACAAGAAAACAGCACTGAAGAATGTAGGAAGGGGTGGACATCAGAGGCATGTGTGCATTAATAGAATGATAGTGGTGCCATTTCTACCTTTTGCTGCTTATACAAGTATTGATTTTTTTTTTTTGTGTTGCTTGTCATTGTGGTCATTCATTGCTGCTTCCACTTCAGTTCACTACTTTTGGTCAACCCTGCCATCCAGCTACCCACACTACCCAAACTGCACTTCCACACCTGGCCCAATCAGTGTCCTCTGTCCTGAGATCTCTTAGTAAAGAAAAGTCTTTCCTGACATATTTTTCAAAAAACATCTTAATGTTGCCTCCTTCCTTAACTCAAGGATTCCTCCTCAATTGCCCCAAGCACTTCTAACACCAAATTGTTACCTGCTGCCACTATGCCAGCATGGTTCCTAATTCCCCATGCATCCTCAGCTTCCTCTTAGTCTCTTTCTGTTGCTGGTGACTTCTCCAAATTTTCCAAAGATAATAATTGTTGGAAACAATACAATGATTCACTGTCTTACTGCACTGCAAAACTTTAATGTCTGTCTTTACGAATATGTAGAGTGTCTCCTAAGCTATCCAAAATACAAGAGCAGGTGTGATTGATTGTCCTAAGAAACAATAGTTGTTTTGATTGCATTTAGAAATGTCTTAAGGTGACATTGTCCAAGAATGTATATTTGTGTGGTTTAGTTACGTTCATAATGGTAAAAACAATAATCAAAATGCAAAAAGCACAAATAATTTGAAATATTATTTTACAAGTGTTTTATTGCAATTCTAATGGAACTCTGTGCTATTTAATGAGCTATTTTCTTTTTCTCTTTTTATCTTTCATGTTTACAGCTGTCTCCAAAAGAATATTTTTGAGTACAGTAAACAATATGCAGCAGTGCTAGGATCCTGATGACAGTATACCAAGAACAAGAATGGAAGTAAATTTATTCAGCAATTCCACTGTTGTAAACAGTTCATCCGTCAACCATAAGCAGTTAGAAGGGCATAGCCTTTGGGAAGTCATTACTATTGCCACTGTAACTGCAATTGTAAGCTTAATAACCATAGTGGGAAATATTCTTGTGATGATATCATTCAAGGTTAACAGTCAGCTCAAAACTGTCAACAATTATTACTTGCTCAGCCTTGCCTGTGCAGATCTCATCATTGGAATATTTTCTATGAACCTTTATACATCCTATATACTCATAGGCCATTGGTCTCTTGGAAGCCTTGCCTGTGACCTGTGGCTAGCACTGGACTATGTAGCTAGCAATGCCTCAGTAATGAACCTCCTCGTCATCAGTTTTGACAGGTATTTTTCCATCACAAGACCTTTAACTTACAGAGCCAAACGCACACCCAAAAGAGCTGGCATCATGATTGGTCTGGCTTGGCTAATTTCCTTCGTGCTGTGGGCACCCGTGATCTTATGCTGGCAGTATTTCGTGGGTGAACGAACAGTACCACCTGAAGAGTGCCAGATACAGTTTTTATATGAGCCTATTATCACCTTTGGTACTGCAATTGCTGCTTTTTACATTCCAGTGTCTGTGATGACCATTTTGTATTGTCGCATCTATAAAGAGACAGAGAAACGCACCAAGGACCTTGCTGAACTGCAAGGTTCGGAGTCTGTGGCAGAGTTGGAGATGATAAAGCCTCGAAAAGCATTCCTGAAGTCTTGCTTCAGTTGCAAGCGACAAAACTTAGTCAAAAGAGAGAGGTGTCAGGCTTCCTGGTCTTCATCTAGTCGAAGTACGTCAGCTACGGTGAAAGCCTCTCAGGCAGCAAGTACTTGCATCGATTGGGCTAAGGCTGACCAGTTAACCACCTGTAGCAGCTATGCATCTTCAGAAGAGGAGGATAAACTTGCCACAGATTCAGTTTTCCAAGTAACTTACAGAAGTCCATCTAAAGGTAAGGCAGAAGAGTTTAATGAGAGTACGGATGTTGTCAAACACCAGCCTGAAGAAAATAATTTTGAGAACCAGAAATACTTTTTGTCACCTGCCAAAGACCACATACAAAAAAGTAAAAAATGTGTGGCCTATAAATTCCGGTTGGTGGTTAAAGCTGATGGCACCCAGGAAGCCAACAATGGTTGCCGTAAAGTAAAAATAACTCCCTGTCCTGCTGCTCTGTCAAAGGATCCTTCCATCAAGAGCATGGATCCAAATATAAATAACCAAATCACCAAAAGGAAACGGATGGTTCTGATAAAGGAACGCAAAGCAGCACAGACTTTAAGTGCCATACTTTTGGCTTTTATTATCACATGGACTCCGTACAATATCATGGTTTTGATTTCCACATTCTGCTCTGACTGCATTCCCCTGACACTGTGGCACCTTGGGTATTGGCTATGCTATGTGAACAGCACTGTTAATCCCATGTGTTATGCCCTCTGTAACAAAACTTTTAGGAAAACTTTTAAGATGCTGCTACTCTGCCAGTGGAAAAAGAAAAAAGTGGAAGAGAAACTATACTGGCAAGGCAATACCAGACTGCCATAATTTACTCCTATACAAAGGATAAAGGGAGAAACAGATATTGATATAACCTAGTAAATTGGGTCTGATTCTGTCTTTTCAAAATAGCTTTATATGTCTAAGGGTTAAAAAAAAAAAACCCTACCAAAAAAAGATCTTTTGCATTAAAGTAGTGTGCTTGGGATAAAGAAGTCAGTGGTTACTGTGAGCAACACAGGGTGGTTTTGATTATGGAGTAGATCTGCATTAAAGTTATCATGCTTGGGGTCTTCTTTCTTTCAGTTACTTTCAATCTGAGAATATACGGAGTAAATAATGAATTACTAGAAATTCAAGTGGGATGGTCATCCAGTCGTCAGATCAGGTCATCCAGTCTATTTCCCTGTGGTACAGAACTGTTTCTTCCTACAGTTCCTTTCCTAGTGTATTGTCTGCTTAGCTTTCAGTGTTCCAAGTCACCAAACAATGAAGCTCGTACTCTGGTTTTTGAGACTTTTCTACCTGCTGTTGGAATGAATCAAGGACTGTTTAAAGGGGAAATGCTGTCATCCCCAATACTAAATGGTTAAGGAGATTCAGAGTGCCCCAGATGAACACACATATTGTAGGAGAATGTGAAAGTGAGAAAATTTCCACTTTAAGGATGACTTTTATGGAGACGTAGTGTCCTGGGTTCAGCCATAGCAGTCATTTTTCTCCTTCTTATTAGCTGGTGCAGTGCTGTGCTTTTGACTTTCAGCCTGGGAACAGCGCTGATAACACCGATGTTGTTAGTTGTTGCTCAGTAATGTTTACTCTGACCAAGGACTTCGTGAGCCTCACGCTCTGCCAGGGAGGAGGGGAAGCCAAGAGGAAGCAGAGACAGGACACCTGACCCAAACTAGCCAAAGAGGTATTCCATACCACAGCACGTCATGCCCAGTATATAAACTGGGGGCAGTTACCCGGAAGGGCTAGATCACTGCTCGGTCGGGCTGGGTATCGGTTGGCGGGTGGTGAGCACTTGTATTCTCTTCCCTTGTTATTTCCCTTATCATTATTATTACTGGTGGCAGCAGTAGTGGTTTTGTGTTATACCTTAGTTACTGAACTGTTCTTATCTCAACCCATGGGAGTTACCTTCTTTTGATTCTCCTTCTCATCCCTCCGGGAGCAGGAGGAGGAAGGGTGGGGAGTGAGCAAGCAGCTGCATGCCTCTGGGTTGCTGGCTGGGCTTAAACCACAACACATAGGAAGGGCTTGTAGTTGAGGAAATAGATGATCTATGTTGTATATGAAAAAGCCAGTTCCAATTTCAGTTCCATTATGCAAGTCACTGTCACCTGTAAAAAATGGTGATGCTTAGCAGATACTTCCAAGTTTCTCCATTTCCCAATGAAATTTTAAAATTTTGATGTGATAGTGTCAATTCAAATGAGAACTGACTGTAAAGCATAATGGACGTAGTCTATCTATTTTACAGCACAAGGAAAGTATTTTTTTGCAATCTCCTTTGTTGCACTTCTCCTTGCTCCAATATTCCATTACTGATGGAATGATGCAAGAAGAGGAAAAAATATGTATTGATGCCCTTTGCATTTTTGTATATGTTATGAAACTACTATAAACAGTGACAGAGTTGGCATCTCTGAAAGACAAAAATAAAGGTTTTTTTAGTATTTTTTGAATATTTCTATAAAACTATTAAGGAGATTTTGCACCTTCATAGCACTTTATATCGTCAAGTAGCTTTACAAATATTAGTCAATGTCAGGTGTTTGGAAACAGAAGTTATCTTCAGTCGCTATCTTTTGGTCCAGCAGAACCATATCTGCTGCTGTACTGAGGGCTGGAGTCAGCCCTTCTGCTGGCTGTGGCTTCTGGGACTGGGCTATACTGGCCTAGATACAATGAGCTGAGACTCTGGCTGCTAGCTGAGGTTTGCGGGGGCTTTGCATGTGTGGTGAGGACCCTCCTGTGGCAGGATTGAACAGCAGATGCCTGTCTGATGTCTGTGTTAAATTGTCAGGAGTCCTGCAGCATTGACTGAGCAGGAGGCCATGGGTGCAGAGCTGGTGCTCTGCCTCCTTGCAGTGGGAACAAAACATGAAGCCTTAGAAAAGGCCATGAGAAAACAGTTAATGGTGACAGGAGTCATAAGGAATGAAATCCTAAAGTAAACAAATGCTTATGAAGTTCAGATACAGTTCTGGCCTTTCTATCAAATTCTGAGTGAGAAGCCCTGGAATATTAGTTTGGGCCAATCTTCATATTATACCTAATATATGCTTTAGTGGGACATTGCAGTGGTGACATGACCCAGTTGCACATTTCATGGATTGTATTAGTCATCCTGGATGTACCATTGCTTTCTGTGAAATTGTTCATATTAATTTATTATATTATTGTACCATCAAAATGTTGCTGTACAGATAAATAATTATTCCATGTCAACAACCACAGTACTATTGATTAATATTTTATATCCCCAATCTCCAGAGGGGAAAATTGTGACAGTGAAAGATTAGCAGTGTAGTAATGTAAAAATATGTTCTCTAAACTCAGATGATTGCTTTTGTAACAGACCATACTGTGCCTATTATTTTTGTGCATTAGCATATGATTACTTATTAAAGAAAAGTAAGGGTGTTTTATATAAAGACCTGTGCATCAACTTTCCTCTGTCACTATCCAGAGCTTTTCCTGTGCACAGTAACTATGTACAAGTTGGTTATTATAGTGGGATTATTTTATATTACACCGGATCAGATATTCAGTAAACTGTTTCATTTTTAGCAAATGGATGTGCCCCTGTGTGGCACAAGCTGTAGTTAAAGGCAAAATTTATGAGCTAGTGAGAGTTTCTGCTAGCTCCAGTGCTGTTGCTAAAGTAAAGCATTGGCTTCTACTGAAATTAAATGGGATACTTTTTGTTGGCTTTGGCTTCTGTTGAACAGCAGTGTTCTGTACATGTTTATGGACTCTGTGCTCAGTAAATGTATTAGAATACACAGTGATGGCTGCAACAAAGTCTGTTCAATGTATTTGTGAAATATGTGCTCAAACTATGCTGCTAGCACTTCACTGTGAGATGCGAAGACATTACATGGCCTTACGTGGCCAAACATGGGTACATCATAAATACCTGGAATTCTGTAAAGAGGTGTGTGTTGCTTTATTGTCATGTGGGATGTTTATTCTTAAAAAAAAAACTCAAAATCACAAGAAGAAAAACGTGATCCTCATCAGACTGTCAGTACTAATTATGTTTTGTTTTCAAATTATATTTTGTACCTTTAAAAAGTGTTGCAGACTTTTACACTGTAGAACAGCCTTGTTATCTGTATTTCTGTCCTTTTAATGAACTTTAAACTGATCCTATAATTGATTATGGTCATGGTCAGGGACTGGTGAAAAGAACTTATTTGTAAAAAGTACATTTTATTTATACATAATCACCTACACAGACACACATATGTATGTATTTATTGTCAATACAGATGCATAAACATACATCCCTAACTAAGGTTATCAGAGACATGGCACCTTTAATATTTTTCAATATTGAATTTTCTCACAAACTGGGGTATCATTTTTGTGTCTCCCCTTTTATACATACCATACATATTCCAGATCTCCATAAATCATGAAGTAACATTCATTTTCTGTACATATAATTTATGTTTGTAGATAAATACTTGAAAGAGTTCCCAGAATTTTTAAATGGGTATAGAACACCTAGTTAGAGTTTTGCACCATCTGTGACTTGCTAGCACGTAGTGAGGAGTTTTGCGGTGGACAGGAAGTCAAGATAGAATATAAATGCACAGGTTTTCCTTTATAGAAAAAGTCCTGTTGAACTAAGGAAGGATGAAATCAGAAGGGTTATAGAGAAAATACTGTAAGAACCTGTAAAATACGATAAAGTGTATTTTGCCATTAATTATATAATTCAATTGCGAATTAAGCTTATCTTACTCAACTATGCATGTCAGTTAGTAACTGCTATTAACTGTTGAAAGTTATTTTTACATGTGGATTTTTGTTCCTCATCTCTATTGTACTGATAATGGGACTTGTACTGGCATATATGGGCTTGAGGAGTCTAGATACAGAGACAGTGATACATTTCAAGGCAAAATCCTTAATTGTACTTCCTTATCACCCTTTATATATTGTTCCAGTTTTAGAGCTGAGTGTCATGAAAAGTCCCCATCTCTAATTTAATTATTCTGACTGTTATATCTCCCACAGAGGGCTTTTTTTCAGAAATCTGTAACATTGCCTCCTTGTCATATTTATAGGCGACCTGACCATTGTAATCCAGGAATTCAGTAAGGCTTACTGAAACAGGAGCCATCACTGAGCAGGATCTGGAGAAGTTGAGAAGAAAACTTTTTGAAGGGTTTTAAATGTCTAGTTGTTTGGGGAAGACTGGCTTGTTTGATCTATCAGCAGATACATGAGGAAACTAATGGCATTCAGTAGCTAATGGCCCATTACTCAATAATACTATTTACTCAATTTAGTATTGAGTAAAAGGTAGCAGCTTTACTGAGATGAATTAAAACTGAAGTTCCTGATCTGGTACATAGCCCAGCAGTGCCTAGTAAACATTTACCAAAATGGAAAAAACAATTGCAACATCCTCCCTTTCTGAAGCCAGTAACATTCAGAGATTATTTGGCTTCCAGTTTTGTGCTTCCATGTCAAGGTTATTGAAAACATATTTTTGGAAGGTGTGTAAGAGTCTGGCTATATGGCAAAGAATTAAAATAAAAGCTATGGGAGACTGGCAGCACTTGGGTGATTTTCATGTATTGTCATTACAACTTTGGAGGCAACTTGATAGAATTACAGCAGAACCCACATTAAATTGACTCAATGACATAAGCTCAATTTGGCCACTGTCTGTTTCTTCCCCTATTACACTTTTGTCTTTGAACACAGTTTTAGAGGAGGAAAAAATCAGATGCTGCGAAATAGACATATATGCTATACTGGCCTCACCCACGTAACAGATCTGTAGCTCTTTCTGAAAACGTTGCAGTGCATTGTAAAAAATAAAAATTCCCTTCTTGGCTTTTGCACTTTGTAATTAATTTCTCTTGTAAGTGATTCTGGCCGTCTTGGACGTCTCAAAACACATTACAACTTTTTTTCTGCAAAGTACTTTTCATGGAAATTATGAGATTTCTGTTTTTAAATTAAAAAGTAGGAGTTTGCCAGTATGTGTTGGTCGGCTTTATGAAATTGAAATATCTGAGAAAACATAAAAGATATTCTAATTATTATTCTGACATTTATATCATGCAACAACGAAAACTTCAGTTGTTATTCAGCTTTTCCAGTCATACAGAAATGTGTGAAGTAACCCAAACAGCTGTAAAAGAAAACAAGGTCTTCAGGATTATCAAAACTGAAATCCTTTTATTTATTTTTTAGAAAAGGTGAATTTACCATGAAATCTAAAGATTCTCTCTTTATTGTGTAATCAGAAAGAGGGCACTGTTTAAATAAACCTTGAGTTTAAATTAAAAGTCAAGGTTGAGTGCCAAAACAATTGAAGCTAGCAAATATGAAATAAAGGCAACGCTTTTATTTTCTCACAGTGATACTGAAAAAAAGAGAAAGCTGAAGCACATCATGGGAGAAGCAACAGTCAAAACATGGTAAATAAAGTGCAGCAATATCCAGAAGAAAAAGAAGGAGCAGTGAGTAAACAATTGCAAAATCAATTTGATCGCTTAAAAAATGTGTTCACTGAGTTTCTTGAAGAAAAATTCAGAGGAATTTTGGATTAGCAGCTTTCAGTGGAAAAGCTGATTATTCCATTAGCTCTGGTCTTTTAAAAAGAAGGAAGAAAAGAAAAGCCTATGCTGAATCTTCACTGTGTATGGTATAATTTAAAAGCTGAGAAGAGACAATGAAGGGGAAAAGAAGCCACTGGAGATGAGGCTAATTCCAGCTTTATATATTAAAATACCTTTCACTAAAGATAAAAAAGAAAGGGCTGATGTTGCCCTAGAGTACACAATACTCTCCAATATGTGTTTTGTAAATGCAGGTACTTCACTGGAAATTTCCTTCCTGCATGATATGTGAAGATGTACAATTATAAGAGATCAACATTCATACTGGAGCAAAACTTCTGAAATGCATGTATGTTCATGTATATCTTGTACAAGACATCAAGTCTTGGATTTCATATGTGACTCTTCTTATGGCTAAAATACTATAAAATTAAATATTTAAATCTTCTAATAGAGGCCTCAGTTTCTGACAGTGACTTCTTGTGTGGCTGGGTGATGTCTATGTCCTGGTCTAGTCCTGGATAATATGCTGTCATAAAGCCCTTGCTAAGGTCCAAATTAATTTTTAATCATGGTTGCTTAATGTGATCATTCAGTCAGTGTGAGTTCACTTCAGTTACTGGAGAAAGAATCCATGGTCCTTTCAAAGTACACATGGCTTATCTACAGTTCAACTTTCTGACACAGACAGGACTTGGTTGGATATGACAGGCTATACTCAACGGGTTTGATCATCATCCAGGCAAACTTGCACATGCGTTGCTTGTTGCAATCTTTTTGCCAGTAGATCACATTCCTACGGTTTAGATTTGCTCCAGCACATGCATCATACCACCAGCCTCCACCAGGAATGCCATTGTGTTCCAGTTTAGCACAATTCTGAAAGTAATTGTCATTGTCTCTGTCTTTGGTGGTGAATTTCTGGTTGTCATGAAGATAAGCTTCTGTGTCCAAGCTTAGAGCATCAGTGGCATTGCCTTGGTATAGACCAACCCTGATTCGGTATTGAGACTCTTCATCTTCAATAAGGAATGGTTCATACTGTCCCCATTTGATTTCAGCATTTATGTTTACAAGTTTAACTCCAAGTATATATTGCACGGAACTGCTTGTTAACTGATGCATATATTCATTTCCTAACCAGTGGTTGTCATGAACGGAACCAAATCCATATTTGTAATCCTGCCAGGTCCTGTCAAAGTCGACAGTACTATTGGCTGTAATGTGCTGGATTACTGTCCAACCACCATCTTGCATGTTACACGAGACTACAATTGGGTCCTCCTTTGGCTGGATGATGTAAAGACCATCTCTGGAATTTCCTTTGGAGTGCTGAAAAATCTCAAAACAATCCCTTGGATAGTCTTGAGTAGGAAAAAAAAAAAACCAGGAAGAAAGTAAATTTCTGTTCAAATAGTGAATTTTAGATATGAACTCTGTCCTTTAAAATGAATGAATGACTACACTCTGACCAGAAAATGACTCTGACTTCATCCCAGGTAGTGGGCACCTGCTCAGCTAAAGGGGAAGATTGCAGACCAGAACGTGCAGGAAATGTTCAGAAATTTTAAAATGGGTTTGTTAACCCTGTCATACAACATAAGTGTGATTTTGCATTTATGACAGCAATATGGTTGAAAAGCCAGAAGTTAGGTACAGACCATTCCTTTTCTTCCTGTGTTCTTCTAGTTTGAGTAGTCACCAACTTTTCAATTCCCTGTGCCGTGTAGTAGACCACTGTGATTAATTACAGGAGCTATCTTTATCCTCAAATAAATCTAATTTCTCTTTAACCAATTTGCACTTTTGGGCATATATAACATCTTTGCATTGAATTCTGATAAGTATGCCATGCGTTCAGTGGTAAAAGTGAGATAGTAAAGCATATTTCTTGCTATTATAAAACTTATAAACATCTGAGGCTTTTCTTAAGAACAGTTCATGTCACTCAAAGTCCAGGCTAAATCTTACCATGGATTTACAAGCAGAACTACAGTGCTGTGCAGTGATAACACCAATACCAGGAAAATAGGTGAAAGTGCTTTTACACGTTATCCAATATACTCAGAGGTAACAAAAATGGCATGTAAGGCTTAGGATAACTCTCTTGATTGGGCTGAAATATATATACTGTGTTTTTTAAATGTAACTTGCTTCTAAGGTAACTTCTTGCTATAGTATAGTATCAAGCATCTCTGAGACTAAGGCACAATGCTCTGCTTTTTACAAAAGGCTGTGAGACTTCTCAAAGCCAGAATATAATTTATTTAAATACACATTTCTGTATGTATGAATTCATATATAGAGAATTCCTTTTGTATGTAGAGAAGGATGTTATTCAATGTCTGTTCTGTTTGTCAGAAACATGTTTATGAAATGAAATCATTCACTTCTCCATAGATTTGAAAGGCATGTCATGACATCATTATACTATGGGATACTTGTACTTTATGTTTAATAAAAACTTGTTAATTTTAGTGTCTCTGTCAGAAAAGTTCCTACAAACCACCTGTGATGTCAAATAAGAGCTCTTCAGACTGACAAAATCTTATGTTCTGTCTGACAGTGACTGATAGGAATTTAAATGCTGAATTTAGAATTTTATTTTTTTTCTTCTGGGAAACCAGGATAATTGAGGACAAGTACAGCAATTGGTTTCTTTTCAATATTTACCAAAAAACAACAAAGGAAAAATATTTCCAAAGATAAAAACTTTAAAATAAATGCTCAGGAAAAACCTCTTCTTTGCCCAAATCACTGACCAGAGATCAGTGATCCTTTGCTCCTTTTACTGAATGCAGTAAATTGTTTTTCTTTTCCTGAACAGAAGAACAGAGTCAGAAAAGAGTGAATCTCATTGTATGGTCTTGTGACCAACAAATCAAAAGTACACTCAGTGATTTGGCTAGTGTTAAAAAAAAAAAAAACCACAAACCCCAAACAACTTTGTGGAAAGAGAAAGGCAGCAGAAGTGACTATTTTATCTGCCACTGGTCCTGCAGCAAATTATATCATACAGTCTTCTTCACAGAATTGTTGAATTTCTTCCAACTGAAAAGCATTGTATATTTCAGTAACTGTCACTACTCTCTTAGAAATACAAATCTGGTTCCCAATCTAATTTTATTAATGTCCACCATCCACCTTTTTCTTTCTTGTGTCACATTGTCCCTTAGTTAAATAGTGCTTCTTCCTGGGTAATAAGCCCCAGTGAGGACAATTATATTTTTATTCAGCCTTTGTTTTGTGAGGGTAGCATAAAGAAGTTCTTTTATTATTTAGTGTAAGATAAATCTTCCGTTCCTTAATTGTCTTAGTAGCTTTTCTGCACTCTTCATTGCAAATTAATCTCCTAGAACATGGGTAAAGTTTGCACACAGTATTGCAGATGGCCCTGTGTAGTGCCACTGATTCTTCCCAGGTTTTATTAAAAACACCTTTGTTGATATGTTCCAGGACTACATTTGTATTGCTTAATTTCCTTTAATCTAGAGTTTGGTTTTGGGATTTTTGTAACTGGTGAGGTCCTCACCTTGTAGTAGAACCTAGGATCATGTACTTTAGTTTTCAACCAAATGGCATTACTTAAGAACACCCGATACATTTTTTTTTCCTGTGTAATATTCTGGGTTTTTGCATTGGCATTTCTGTACTTCATGTTATCATTAAATTTTATCAGCATATGCCTGGTTTTGCATCAGTATACTTAATAAGAATATGGAAAAGATTACCTATGAGCAAATACTTCCAAAGTCTCCTCTTGACTTTATGGTTTACTTTTCTAACCAAGTCATTGTCATTTTCTTTTCAGTCTCTACTGAAATTATAATATAACCTTAACTTCCGTGATTTATTATTGCATGAAATATTGTATCATAGGCTTTGTAGAAGTCCAGATGGACTAAACCTGTTAAATACTATTTTTCATAGAATTACTATTGTGTTAAATATAGTCTTTTATATTTGATATTCAGAAGATTATTGGTACTTCCATGCCACTCAGGACAGATTTACAGGAATAGATAGTGTTTCCAAGGTCTTTTATGTCTTTCATTGCCTAATAGAATCTACAGCCATGAATAGAAGACTTTATATCTCAATATTATCTGCATGCTGTTATTAAACATCCTGAAAGAGCAGAACTCTGTACATGACTGTACTCCAGTTGTTAGAACATTTGTCTGGTAGACATAGCCTGACTCCAAACCCAATCCCATGATTTTATAGTATTACCATTATTTAAGTGATTATATAGTGATGCACACATCAGTGATACATACAATGACTCTTGTATTTGCCCTTCTCAATGAATATTATTCAGGCAAAATACAACAACTTCTATAGACAAATAATGAGAAAATAATTCAGACTGAATGTCACAGGATTCACTTGGAAAGTGGATTTTATAAAACCTCAAATGCCATCAGTCAAAGGAGTAAAATGAATCAGCCACCTACTCTTTTTATATACAATTTATATGGGACCTACTTTGGTAAATGTATCAGAAACCCTAACAAGCTGGACCTTGCAAGCTAGATAGGCAGAGGGATGCCTCAATTATAGGTACCAATGGGATTTAGGTACTGAGGTGTATGATGTAAGCTACATATGATTGTCCAACAAATAAGTCTTCAAATGAAAAAAAAAACTGGTAATTTCTCTTGAATTAGATGGCAGCTGAGCAAGGGATTAAGGATGCTGGAGAGGGACTCTTCATCAAGGATGCAGCGATAAAACAAGGGGTAATGTGTTCAAACTAAAATAGGAGAAGTTCAGGTTAGATATAAGGAAGAAGTTCTTTACTGTGAGGGTGGTGAGGCACCGGAACAGGTTGCCCAAAGAGGTGGTAAATGCTCCATCCCTGGCAGTGTTCAATGCCAGGTTGGACAGAGCCTTGGGCAACATGATCTAGTTTGAGGCATCTCTGCCAATGGCAGGGGAGTTGGAACTAGATGATCTTAAGGTCTTTCCAACCCAAACTATTCTATGGTTCTGTGACTTCAGGTCAGGACATGTTCATATTGCAAAGCAGGCCAAGTGCAAGGTCTTGCGCCTAGGTTGAGGCAATTCCAAGCACAGCTAGAGGCTGGGCAAAGAACTGATTGAGAGCAGCCCTGAGGAGGACTTGAGGGTGTTGGTTGGTAAGAAGCTCAACAATGACCCACCAGTGTGCATTTGCAGCCCAGAAGGCAAACTGTATCTCGGGCTGCATCAAAAGGAGCATGGCCAGAAGGTCGAGGGAGCTGATTCTGCTCCTCTGCTCTCATGAGACCCCCACCTGCAGGTACTGCCTTCAGCTCTGGGGCACTCGACACCAGAGGGATGTGGACCTGCTCAAATGAGTACAGAGGATAGCCACAAGATGATCAGAGCACTGGAGCACCTTTCCTGTGAAGACAGGCTGAAAGAGCTGGGGTTGTTCTGCCTATAGAAGAAGAGAAGGCTCTGGGGAGACCTTAAAGTAGCATTCCAGTACATAAAGGGGGACTACAAGAAATCTGGAGAGGGACTTTTACAAGGGCATCTAGTGATGGGACAAGGGAGAATGGTTTTAAACTGAAAGAGGGTAGAATTTTTATTAGATATAAGGAAGAAGTTCTTTACTGTGAGGGTGGTGAGACACTGGCACAAGTTTCTCAGAGAAGTTGTGGCTGACCCATCCCTGGAAGCATTCAAGGCCAGGTTGGATGGGGCATTGAGCAATCTGGTCTAGTGGAAGGTGTCCCTGCCCATGGCAGGGGAGTTAGAACCAGTTGATCTGTAAGGTCCCTTCCAACCCAAACCATTCTGTGACTCTCATTTTTGCAGGGCTAGCTTTCAAGTACATTGGCTGAAAATGTTACAGCAACACAACAGAGTAAAACACAGCATGCATCCAATATACCCAATTCTCTTCATGAGTACCTTTTTCATTGCTGTTACCCAGTCTCTCATAGCCTCTTTGGGGAAGAAGGTGGGCATTAGCCAAGACCACTGCCTCTGTGGTGCTTACTGACAAAGTGCATTGAAAGAGCAAGAACAGAATAAATCCCACTGAGCTTGTCATCAGCATCTTCCTTCCAAGTCAGTCCTTCTGCAGCAGTACAGATCTGTAACACAGGGTGGATTAAAAATGGAAAGATTTATGACTTCTAATAGGAAAGTCCTGAAGAACAAAGGTATTGAAATACTGAGCTTCAGTGTAGTAAGCCTCTGCCAAAATCAGCTTCTCCCATCTTTCAAGGACCTCTCCCTTTCCTAACGTCTTGCACCCTGTATCTGACTGGTCATTCCTCTGACACATAGGATTGGAATCTCTTAGCTGTTACCTTGCACCATGCTGGGCAATGAAACAGAATGTAATTTTGTTGTGACAGAAAAGCAACAATGGAAGAAAAAGCACATCTTGTATTTATCAGAATTGAAATATTCCCCGAGTCTGAACTAGTGAAATAGAGCACCAATGGTTAACCTGGCAGAAACAGTAACACTAGCTCTTCTGACCGTCTAGTTCAAACAGTACTCAAAAGACATGGCTTTCTGAGTGCTGGCAGTATTTCTGTGCCCTGGATAGCTCTCTTCAGCACATCTGGACTATCCTTTCTATGAATTTCCATCTACAGCTTTAAATAATCAGTCACAGGTTTAAATCAGATTTAAAAAAAATGAACAAAGCAAAAAGAATTTTTGCCCCACAAGAGCTTAATATATTGTATCAAAACCTTTTTGAGCTTGTCCTTCTTTTGGGGTTACATATCTAGTAACTTTCCATCCAACATAGCAAGAAGTCTTACTTCTGGACTTACTGGACTAAGTCCTGGGTCCCCAGGCAAATCCCAGTTTGACAAAAGAGGAATTTTTATATCAACAGCAGCATAGGCTGAATCGGGATAACTAATGTTTCCCATACTCTCAAAGGACACATTTGCTTAAGACTTGACAAACTGGGGTGGTTTTTTTGTTTTGGTTTGCTGGGGTTTTTAAAGAGAGCTCCCCCCAGTGACTTTGGCAAAGGCAGCAAACAGATTTAGCAAACAGCTCTTTTATCAGACCTTATTTCCTGCCAGCATCAGCATGGTCTACAGAGGCCAGTACCCTTCTCCACAGTGGTTTATGTTCCAGCAAAGCCACATTCCTTATAAATGTAATGACTTAGCAGCAGATTCTGCAAACAGTATTCCAGACAGAAAAAAATATTCACCACATTTTAAAAAATGTCCAAGACAAATCACGATAAGAGAGTTCAGGTATGAGAGTTAATTTTTATAGCTACCATGCAGAAAAACAGCAAACCAGAATTTTCTACTCTACCTAAAGTGATTATATAATAATTCTGATTTATTATTAATATACAATTTGCTGTTTTATGCAGGGTTGGTCATTTAACACTGAGAGTGTAATAAACTGGGAAATTGCCTCCCATTAAATTTGTCATAGGGATTCCCTTAAAGCATTTAAGTTGTACTCTACCTACACTTCCCACTGTCATGTATCCTTTTCCATGAAAGCTTCTAGTATTGTTTCTATTATTAAGTATTATGTTATAAATGACTTACTTAAAATAAAAACCTAACCCACAAGCATCACTAAACTTCAGGAAAACTGCACTTGGATCTGGAGTTATTATTTTAGAAGTTTTATTTTAATTTAGCATTTCTGAGTGAATCTTTTTTCTTCCTTCATATTTACACACTGAAATGATTTACAGACCCATTTAATTTTAAAATAGAACTTAGTATTATAAATTATTAAGAAAGCAACTGAGGAAAGCAGCACTAGCCAGGCACCTTACCTCTTTCAAGTGAAGCTTAGCAAAGAAAATCATGCGGAAATGAATGAGCTCATTTTGTACAGTTGTACTTTGCCTGATACTTAAGCCCAGGTGAATAAATCAGCTCCAACACACTATCTCAAATGCAGCAAAATTGCATCTTCATTATTTCACACTGCACGCTTACTCTGGTGGACTTTACTCTGACATATTATACTTGCAAGTATTTATGAATTATAAAGTACAAAGTCCTTCTGTAAGGATTAAAACAACACAGTAACTAATTAAATTTCCTTGATCAATAAATAGACACAGTGACAGAGAACCGTGAAGAGGTTTTAGTTCTGAAAATTACTTATGTTGCTTAAATACACACAGTCAGATGCTCAAATTTACTGTGTCATTTTGCATAGATGAATTAAAACTGCATAGAGACAACTTGATTTTTAAGCATTAGGAACAAGGGAACAAACTAACCATAAACCTTGTTACTTCATATTATAACATGAATGAATGAGCAGTGTCTCAGAGCTATAAAAATGGGAAAAAAAACCCAACAAGCCACCAAATCAGGACAGGCTGGTCAACAGAGTGCTGTTTTATTTTATTTGAATTAACAAGAGTTAATTAACATTAATTCAGGTCAAACCTATAATGAATTAGATTAATTAATTGTTTCTATGTATCTGGAAGTTGCACTATCTATCTGCATGGCCTTTAGATGATGTCTAATCTAGCATTTACCCCTTTCAAGATGAGCCAACAGTTAAGTTTTTTTGCTCCTTGATCCAGCCTGCAACCCACTTTGATCAGATTCTATCCCTGAAACAAGCCACAATTAAAACTGATGGAGCATTTACATCCTCTGCAAGCTCTCCTTGAGGATTTGTACTATGCATAATTTCTGTCCTTCAATAATTTATTCTCAGTGAAAGCACAACATGTGTGGATTTCTATTTCATGCACAATTAAATAAATACATGTAACAAATGTTTTAAGGAACATTTTCTTGTAACATCTAAAACTCAGTGATATTTCTCTTCATTTTTCAAGTACAAGCAGTGCTTTATTATACATGAGGATGGCCACAAGGAGTCAGAACAGTATCTTTTCCATGACATTGGGCAGTAGCAGAGCTTCAGGGTAGTGTAAGAACACATTCTCTCCACTTCTACTGTTACGCAGCTCAGGGAATTTCTGGTATCAATATGTTTGACATATCTAATTTTTGGTTGGTACTAAGCTTTATAAACCCTGGCTAAGGCATGAAAATACCTTATGAAATAATAAAAGTGCTTTGAACAGACACAGATCTTGCTGAAATGGTATGCTAAAAAAGGTCAGAAGATACTGCTCCATTCTGTCCATATTGATAAAATCTAGAAAACACCACTGACTTTAGTGATATTTACTGATAGGTCTCATGTTACCCTGGTTTAAATTGGGGTGCATTTTTGCTTTGTGCCTTTGATTCCTACATTTTCCATCACTGTTTATCTTCTACCCATCTTTTAATTTTTCTTTAATTTCTTGCTGTTTGCTTCTCTTTGTTATTTCCAAACTTTCATCTAAACTGTCAGAGCCGAAGCAAAGTGGGAAGCATTTAATTAGAAGAGAGAAGAAAGGGCAGAAGCATTAATTCACTTGTGCTCAGAAAGGCATCTATTTCTGTAGATGAAAACTTTGAAAAATAATGAAAATTACTACATCTCTCTCTCTGATCTTGATGAAGTATTTTGAGAATAATTTTTCAGCCATGAAAATTATATAGTGACCTTAAGGTACTTTACATTGGTATGGTTTGGTCATATAAATTTCAAAATAATGCATTACTATAATGACTTATTGTTAGCCATGTTAATTAAGATAGTTTCTCTGCCCAATAACCAGGTCCTTCTCCACAATATGCTGAAGTTTTAATTATCCCTCTGATTCTGTTAAGCTTCAACTGGCAAGCATTCATATGAATTTTTTCCAGCCCATGCTCTCCTTTGTGGAAATTGTCTTTACAAGTTCTTGATATTTTAACAACTCATGGCACAGCCTTGCAAAGGGAAGATTTGTCTCTGATCAATTTCATCAAGCTCTAAAGTAAGTTGCAAAGACAACCTAGCTCCTATTTTGCAACTAATCAGACTCTGTAATGATGTGGAAAATGTCCATATGTAAGCCATACAATGAAGCCATCCATTCTAGCAAGGGCAAAGTACTATTAATTTAATTTTTGTAGTCTGGATGATTGTGACAGCAAGTGGCAGTATTATACAGTCAAAGAACCATAGAATCATTTTGGTTGGAAAAGACCTTTAAGATCATGAAGTCCAGTCATTAACCTAACACTGCCAAATTCACCATTAAACCATGTCCCTGTGCACTACATCTACACTTCTTCTAAATGCTTCCAGGGATGGCCACTCAAACACTTGACCAATGCCTTTCAGTGAAGAAATTTCTGCTAATATTAAGTCTAAACCTCTCCTGGCACAAAGTGAGTCATTTTCTCTTGTCCTATCACTTGTGTGGGACAAAAGACCAACATCCCCCACACACTACAACCTCCTTTTAGTTGTAGAGAACAGGAAGATGTCCCCTCAGCCTTCTCCAGGCTAAACAACCCCAGTTCCCTCAGCTGTTCCTCGTAAGTTCTCCAGACTCATAAGTTCCTCTGGTTCTCCAGACCCTTCCCCAGCTTTGTTGCCCTTCTCTGGACCTGCCCCAGCACCTCAATGTCCTTCTTGTAGTGAGGGGCCCAGAACTGAACACAGTATTCAAGGTGCAGCCTCACCAGCACCCAGTAGAGGAGGGTGATCACTGCCCTGGCCCTGATGGCTATGCTACTGCTGGTACAGGCAGGGATGCTGTTGGCTTACTTGGCCACCTGGGAACACTGCTGCTCATGTTCAGCTGGCACGTGTGGATGACCTGCTCTTTTAAGATTTCCTTCTTGAAGAATGCCCAGCCTTCCTGGACTCCTTTGTCATTCAGGACTGCCTCCCAAAAGTGACTTTATCAACCAGTCTTCTAAATAGGCCCAAGTCTGCCCTCTGTAAGTGCAAGGGAACTGTTCTGCTAACCCCTTCCTTACTTCTTCAAGAATCAAAAACTGTAATTTTGTGATCACTACACCCATGATGGGCTCCATTATTAATGGGAAGGGTTTTGACAGGCTAGCAACTTGCGTACCCAGGGGATTCAAAACACTTGAGCTGGGCAATTTATGGCTTTGTATTGTTGCCAGAAACCTGTAAAAATACTAACTTTTATGCAGTAATCTTGTTCAGTGTACTAAGGAACTCAAAAGACAAAGTTCTAACAAGGCAAAACACATAAAACATAAAAAAAGGTTCACTGAGTGTCTTTCCTGAAAGAAGTTTTATGGCTGCACAGCATGAGTGGTTCCTTCAGGGAAAAACAAACCAAGATTCCCACCCCCACCCTCCCCCCCCCCATCAACCAAACAAAAAACCCAGGGCATAGAAATACATCTGCTACTTTGAGTGGCTTTGAATTGCTTTGCAACCTTGGCTAAATGCACTTTTGTATCTTTGTATAGGAGCAGTTGAAAAAAATGAATGTTCATAACAGTTTTCACTTGTTCTTGAACTTCAGAGCTGGCAATGGCATATGAAGTGTGTTTTGTCTGACAATGCAGAAAGCAGATATTAACTGCTGAAACACATTGTGCAGGTTCTCAATCTCTTTTTACACCTTCATTATTTGTGAGATGTACCACTACTTTGGAAATGAGCCAGGGTATATATTTTTTACTGAATGTAAAAGAAAACAAAT